GGCGGCGGCGGCGACGGTGGCCGGAGTTAGCAGCGACGGCAGCGGAAAGTGGCGGCGACAGCAGTGGCACACTAGGTCTGGACTGGTGCTGATTGTGGCAGAGATTTAAGAAGAAAAGATGGACTGCCCACTGAGATTTTAGGGACTGCCGGCGGCCATGGCGGCCGGCCGCCGGCAGACAGCAAAGACCACCAAAAGAGGATCAGAGAACTTGCTCTGATATGAAAACTATGTTTGGATTAATCTCCCTTGTGTAAAATACACACATAGGGTTTTTTATTTATAATAGAAGAAATATGGGCTAAGCCCAAAATACAAATGAGAAATAATAACAAACTAACTAAAAGATAAAAGATATAATATATCTAACAATGTTAAAACAACATGGTAGTAGAGAAAGATGTTTCATTTCAAGTCATTATCATAAGTGTGAACAGACAAAATGGAGAGAATGTTGAAAGGTTAACCAAACTAATAAGGCAGATGGCAAGAAATAGATCAAATTGAATATGTTTAATCCTTTGTTCAATCAGACAAAATATGCATAGCTGATGACTATCATATCTTAATCTAACTAGGGGACAGTTGGCTAATGCAATTTCACACTCTGTAGAATACATATAACTATAGGCCACCTCTAACAACGAGGAGGGAAATTGGTTGAGGCAGAAATCTAACGGTGACTAACTGATCTCCCTGAATCATTATTTATGCATAAAGGAACTAAGGCTACAAGAGTATAAGCACATAAGCTGGTCCATATTCCTAAACTTATTTGAGTTTATATGCTGCTACAATAGACATTTATGAATTATAAAGCACTTTGAATTTTTGACCATGTTTGGATGAGCTTATTATATGGGATTCATAAACACACAAAAGCTACTTTGTGGCTAAGACTAACAGAAACAATAATCACAAAAATGGGTTAAATTAATCCGAACAAAAGATCACAGTTCCTACGTTTTAGTTTGGAATAATTAGAAATGAGTTACAATATAAACAATAATTAAGTTATTCCTAATAGAAGGTGGAGTAACCCTGAACCTAAATATATCAGACACATTCACATGAGCCATTCCTCATTAGCACAAAGCATAAATGGTAGAGTACCTCCTTTAGTCCTATAACAAAGTAAGTTTTTCTTTTCAATTCACGAAAGGCTAAGATTCTACCCCACTTTTATCACCAACATGGAGAAAATTACCTAGGACTATAACTCCTTGCCACATATCTTCCATGCTCAGGAGTTATACGAATAATTAGACCATGTGGATCTTTAACATCTTCAGAAATACCAGCCCACCATCCCACCTACATCAGCAAATGCAAGTCAATTCAAAAGAACTTCTATTGAATATTGATAAATTCAAGAGATATAAAAACAAAATCACAAACCAAATTCAGATGTTTAAAGCAGTGCAGTTTATTGGCAGAGCATACGGCACTAAAATGTCACATCAAGGCATCAATCTTTCTGATAAATAAATATATAAAGAATGAAATCCAGCAACTCATGCAAATGAACTAGAACCATGATAAAAACCAATGAAATAACGCCCCCTAAAATCTAAAAACACTATAAAAAGTAAACCAAGCATGCTCACAAATGGATTTTTATTTGCTATCTTCTAATATTGACTGTCATTAGATCCCACGGCCAATTGCAAGGTCTAAGAATAAATTCACTTTAAATGAACTCCTGATGACCAAAAAAGTAGAAAGGGAAGTCTTATCTTGATGGTTGAAAGAAACTTGCAACCAAGTTACAGATATTGAAGCAGAGCTACAAGTATTGCTAGGGCTACCCTTTCACATTACATCTGACATTCTATTTCCACCAGAATGCAAAGATATTCATGCAAGTTGCATTAAACAAACTCTATCAGAACTCACGAGTCCAGCGCCAGCTTTATCTCTTAAGAAAGCTGCATCACCATACCGCTCCTCTTTAATGGCTCTCTGGAAGTTTGGAAAACATACAAACAGTTTTGAAATGTATATATGAATGGGGTTGTTAAAAGAGAAAGAACAAAAATTGGTAGCTAGTATGGAAAAGTTTTGGCTATCAAAGGAGCATCATGTAGTCAAAATTATTACGTTGAGATAAGACATCACTCTTCCAACACTGTCATTGTTAGCTGCAGCCGCAAAAGCCACCTTTAGCCTGGCGGCATCTTCGTAATCCTCCAAATACACAGCCCGACTTAACTGAGACTGTTAAGCACAAAATCATGTAATACTTGCCATAATTTGTAACTTGGAAAGGCAGAATGGCTAATTTAAAAGAAACAGAGTTGCTTGAGTTAAAAATAAAAATACTATTGAAACTCTTCAGAAAACCGCATTAAAATCGATTTACGATAAAAAAAAAATTAGTTACACGTAATTAGAGGACGCGAATTGAAAAACAAAAACAAAAAACCGGTGTACCTTGAGAATTGAGAGGAGACGCTCTTGCTCGTCGATTTCTTCGAAATGCCGGCGCCACCGATCCCAATCCCAATCCTCATCGTGGCCAGCCGCGCGGCTACGATCTTCGACGGCGTCCCCGAAGGACTTCCAGTAAGAATCGACGCGCTTCGCGACCTCGGAGAAGTGGTGCAACACGGAATCCCAACCGCGTTTGGCGCCGCTGCGGTCGTCGGAGGAGATGCAGCGACAGGGAGAGAAGGAAGATAAAGGAAGGAGCGACGGCGTTCGCGCGGGAAACGGAACGGCAAGCTTCTGATTAGGGAAGGTGAGGGTTGGAGCGGTCATGGAAGCCATGCGAGAGAAAGAGAGTGAAAGGAACGAATGGATATGCGTGCGTGTGAGAGTATGTGTTGGAAGGAGATTGGAAAGAATATGCTGTTGTTGCTAAATGGTGAGGTGATAGATTATTATTGTTGCTGGTGTTGAGTTAGTAAATAATGTGAATGTAAAGTGAAGGCGGAGGAACATGAGGCTAGAAAGTTGGGTGTGAAATTTTGAGGGACGGATCTTCATGCCTCCATAGATTTTCTAGCGTCAAGGGATAAGGATCAATTTTCTTTTTCTTTTTCTTTTTCTTCTCCTTCTTTCTTACTTATTTTCGCATTTATTTTATTTTTTTTTTTAACGGTTGGTGTTCATAGGTTTGGTTCGGGTCAATGGGTTGTCATTCAAAAAGGTAAAAACATTTGCCAACAGGTGGCACTAACCCAATATTTTATCCATTAATAACCATGGATTAGGCAAAACCACATAGTGTCATTAATTTTTTTCTTCTTTTAGAGCTCTACCAGTTTGTTCAATTTTACGCAAAAATTGCAAACCATATCTTAGATTTATAAAAACATCACGTTCTGTTACCATATTGAAAATTTTGAAAATGTCACAAACTTATCTTATCTGTGAATGTTTAAAAGAAAAACCATCTTTTTCAGAACAGAAAGTATAAAATTTTACAAATTAGAAATTAAAATTCACCGAACTTATGTCTCGATAAAGTTATCTGATACAGTAATTTATTTATTTGATAATTTTAAATTTTTTTAAAAGCCAAATGATTGTTTGCATGAATAAATTAAAAAAATGAATTTTAAGAAATTATTACAAATAATTGAAATAGTAAAATTTAAAATTCATTTAAAAAATAAGAAAATTTAAATTTACTATATTTTTCTATATATATAGACTAGAAAAAATAAATTATTAAATATTATTTGAATATTTAAATTTTATTAATATTTTGTAAAGTTTAATTTTAAAATTTATTTTTAAAAAAATTCTAAAAAGAAAAATTCAATTACTTTATTACAAAAAATTTAAATTAATCTACCCAAAACAAAATATTTAGAAAAAAAATGCGATTTTTTTAACCCAAATAGCTATATGAACTTAAAAGAATTACATAGATAATATACTGTATGAAATATTTATACAGATAACAAATTTTTTATTTTTAGGTTACAATTCGGCTTTTCGAAAACTAAATTTTGAATTGTGATAAGGAGAAAACTGATTGAAAAACAATTTTTTGGATAACAAAATTCTAAACTTTGATTTGAAGAAAACTGGTTGAAAAACAAATCAAAATTGAGAAATCGATTATCCAGAGACTGAATTCTGACCCTGAAGAAAAAAATATGTTATTTATGTAAAAATTTGAGTAAGTAATAGTTTAAATATTATGCATTTCAATATTTTAGAATTGTAGAAATTCTTTATCAAAATATAATGCAAAGATATTCTAGAAAACAAAATTTGGGAAATTTTAAAACTTTTAGAGTAAAATTAAATCTCAGTAGTTGAATTTAATGTTAAAAAAACAAACAAGTTCTAACATTTAAGGGAGTAACTTGTTTAAGTAACTTGTTTAAGTACAAATTTACAAGACAAGGAGCTTAATTTAGCTATAGCCAACCAAAAATAAGAAGAAAATCATTTTATCGTCATTGAAATATTTTCTATTTTAAAAATAAAATTCAATTTTTTAAGTACTGTTGGGAAGAAAATTACAGTATTAGTTAATTGAAAATCATCTCAAGTCATCTCAAATATGACTTAAATTATTTTTTACAGAAGTTAGTAGTTTAGTGTAATTATAATTGAATTTTTGAAGAGTTGCTCTAAAGTTTTCTTAAACAGCCTTCGAAAACAACTGAATATGATTTCTGCTAAAGTGCAACAAATCAAACACCAATGCATGTTGAAACATTGAGAGCAGAATCTAATACAACAGAATTTGCGGTTGACCGCATTGGTTATACTACAGGGCCCGAACCATAAGCAGTGAACCCAAGTTAACGGATTATTACAACACAGTTTAGGAGGCCTTTCTATGCAATAAGGGGTCAATGATGACTTGTGGCTCAAACTCTGGTTTCACATAGCGGCCGAGTGTGTCTGCATACAACTCGTACCTTGAAGTCATTCTGAAACCCCACTTGTCCTTAAACTGTCTACACAAGTTAAGGTCCATGTCTGTTATTAAAAGGCCATCCCTGTAACGAGATAGAGATGGCGTGCATGATGCATCAGGTGCTGAAACATAACTGGACCCATAAAAGTGCCCAAAATCTGCGTGTGCTGGCTTTCCATCACCAGAAGTAAATGCATTGGGGAATGTCTCAGTCCCAACGCGATTGATTGAAGCAACAAAGTAACTATTAGCTATTGCAGCATTACGTGCCTGACAAACAAAGACACTTTCAAGTCATATACTTTTAGGCTGATATCATATTCTACAAGTACAAAATCTGTCTGCTTCTAAATTTGGTTAGCAGAGGTGAAGCAGGAAAACTTATACAGGCAAATTCCTCTGAATTCAACGCATGTTGGAAGTGATATTTGTTGATTAGAAAATAGCAATAGAGATATATGTGCATGTATGACAAATCACAGAGTTTATAAAATATCAACCAATAATTGGACTTTGCACCATATCCTTTGAAGTGCATCCCACAATTTAGTTAAGTTCAATTTTCTTGTAATCACTTGTGTACAAATATCATGCTAAATCTCAAGCTATATAATTTAGCATAACATTATAGAAAAGGATATATAACCCATCACGTAAGTGCTCTGCATAAAATATAAGAACCAGAAGCAATAAAAGATTCCTGAAATATAAAGGGACTACTAACCTCTATAGGCCACATTGGCTCGCTGAGTTCACCAACAGTAGCAGAAGGGTTGAAAACAATCTCCGCACCATTCAATCCAAAGGCTAACCAATTCAAAGGATGGTGTCTACCATAACATATATTAATGGCAATCTTTCCATATACTGTTTCGAATACAGGGTGGCCAGTATTTCCTTCCATATAATATGTACTCTCGTTGAAGTCCCCAACTCTGGGTATATGGTTCTGCCAAATGTTAACTGTGTTCATGAGATAGATGAAAGGGAGGTTTTGGGTATTAAAATTAGATGCAGAGAGCTTAAGGCAATTACCTTCCTGTGTTTCCCAATTATATTGCCGTGATTTCCAATTACAACGGAAGTGTTCCATATAACCTCTCCATGGTTAATATCCCTCTCAAGAATTGAACTTATGATGACCATGTTATATTTCAGTGCAAAGCTTTGTAAAAATTTTGTTGATTCTCCATCAACAGGTTCTGCAAATTCACACCATCTTTTCTCTCGAGTGCAGAAGGCAAATGGCATCATCCACGCTTCCTGCAAAAGAATTATATGAAAACGTTGAAGAGTTTCAATCAACTGTGTGAAATCAATCGGCAAAAAATGCTCATACATAGGAAACCTACTTGTAAGCATAATATGTTCACTCCAGAAGAACCGGAAGCTTCAATTATTGGCTTTAGTTTCTCAAAGATAGCCTTCTTCTGGTCTGCAAAGTGAGCAGTGGTTGGAAGGGCAATGGAGTTCTGAATCAAACCAACCCTTACTACTCTAGGTTCCCTTAGCTGTTCTTTGTCAGCAGAAAAGGAAAAGGCCTGAAATAAAGCAGATTAAAGTTCAAAATGAACTGTTAGAATTTCTGTATAGAAGGTAGATACTGTGGCTAATCAATGGACTAAACCAAAACTATTATCAGTTAACCAATGAGAAAGAGTTAATAGATTCCAAAATTGATTCAACAGACAACAACAGACAAACAAGAAAAGAAAGATTAGCAGTTCCCTGTTCGTAGTTCATTTAGTGTACTCAGAAGGCATGAGAAAAAGGAGATATTAAAGTAAAAAGAGCATTTTGCTATAAGGCATGCCTGAATGCATACTTATATTCATTTCTTCTCTTTTTCTCATGCAACACATGCACAAGCAAGTTAACTTAATCAATCCAACATTCCTTTCATTTGTGAAAAATGAAAACACAATTCATATGGGGAAAAGTGGATCGTATCATACCTGGAGATCAAAACCATGCTCCACAGAGAGGGCAGTTGCAGATTCAGGGAGAGCAATTGTTTCAATTGCTTTTCCACAATTAAGCCCAGTAAGCAAACGGCTAACTTCCTGCAACACGATACACAACACTGAGCAAAAAAATGCATATTTAATATGCGATTGATTCAAGCAACAACTCATGAAACCAACTTAGAAGAAAGACACGTGATCCATTTTCTGTAAAGCTAGAATAGCTTTCAAAATGATGTTGGAGATGCAAAATTTGGTTGATTTATTTACTTGGAAAATCCTGGTAAATTGTTAAAATGTTAAATTCCTTCTTAAATGTGAAAAGTCAAAGGATAATGAAAGCCCAGAATCAGATCCATTACATGTGGAAAATAAATCCCACAAACCCAAGCAACTGAATCAATATAAAGAAGAGAAAAGGTGAAATAGAAACAGAACTAGTGGCATGAATATATATATATATATATATATATATATATATATATATATACCTGAAAGTGATGAGGATTAAGATTATCCTTGAGAAGAAGGTGAAGAGAATCGTATCCACAAATAGAGTCCTTTGGTTCTTCTTCCTTCTTCGCTTCTCCGTTCTGGCGGTTCTCCATCTCCCACTTTTACCGTCAGTTCAGAATTGCAATGCTAAGATAGTATGAAATGACAATAAGGACAATATTTTGATGTGTGATGAACCAATCGGATTCATGTGGTCTTGTTTTGTTCTTTTGTTTCGTTGCGTGCTATTTTAAAACGGGACGATTATAAATTTATAATAATCAAAGAGTGATTTAGTGTCGGGATTCAATCGATAACAAACGAAGGATAACCTAAGTTTGTATACAATAATTAATAAATAATAACAATTGAAAACTCTGTCCATGTAAATGTGTTTATTTTTTAATGTTATTATTCCCTATTATTTTGCTCGAGGGTAAGAAATAATTAAATATGATAATATTCTATTTTTGTTTTTATTATGTAATATTTACTCTCTTGTGATAATTAATTTATTTAAATTCAATTTTAATCTCATATTATAGTCTATGAAAGAGATGGAAAAAGTTAAATTTCAAATTTTGAATCTAAACATACCAACATTTCACAGTTAAAAAAAATTAGGCAAGATGTTATAAAAAGGGGAGACGAAAAGGTTCCCGAACTTTTCATGCTTTTCGAAAATAAAATGTATGGTAGAAGAAGAAAGCATTCTTCGTCGTAGTGAAAGTTTGGGAAATGGGCAGAAAAATGGGACATTGAAACCCATCATATGCATAATGAATGTTTACAGTCGAAAAATATATTACAGGTGTGCTGTGTATAATTAATTGAACTGAGATAGACTTCTAAACCTCTTACTTCAAGTACTTTCGAACGATGTGGATCAATGATTTTTTTCTTACAATTAAGTATTAGAACTTAGTTAAAACTTACTTACCTTTGCAGCTTAACTTTTTATTTATAAGTTATTTCATGGACTCTAGACTAGCATAGGTCCAATAAAAACCTTCTTTGTCCTGTAATCAGTTATCAATATCTTTAATCATTCTGTTCTTAATTTATTAACTCTTTATTTTTCTAAACCATTGGCCAAATAACAGTATCTTGAATGTTGGCCCAATTATGGCCCAACATTAACAACTTACGCGCTACCCAATATCAATGACTTAAGGGTGTTGCTCCCTCCACCACCACAGCCTTCTCCCTCCACCTCCTCTTTACTATTTTGCCCATCAGTAAAATTTTATTTTTAGAATTATTGTTTTTTAATTTTACTCATTTATAACATATTTCACTGATAACCTACGTAGTTCCTTGTATGAGTAAAATATTTTTCTGCAAAGCTCAGTGATCGTGAAAAGAATTATCAAGCAATCTTCCTCTTGCTTTCGGTGCACTACGTGGTGCAATGCGTTTGTGGTGTAATGTGCTTGTCGTGGTTCCTCTCTAGGTACGTAGTCATAATCCTTCCAATAATCCTAAACCCTAAACCTTAAACCCTTCCAATAATCCTTCCAATAATCCTTCCAATAATCTTTCCAATAATCCTTCCAATAATCCTTTAACCCTAAAACGTAAAATTAAAACAAAGCTTAAACGGAGGACATCCTTCAACGGATGTCAACATCCGTTTAAGGCAAAACGGATGTCATCCGTTTAAGCTTTGTTTTAATTTTATGTTCTGTTATTATTTTATTAGATATTTTAATATTTTGATTTATTATTTTTGAATATCTTTTTAATGTATTTTAATAATGTATATTTATATTAGTTTATATTTAAATATTAAAATATTAAAATATTAAAATATTAAAATAATAAAAATAAAAAATTTTAACTTTAAGGATATAATTGGAATTAAAGATAATTGGGGAGGTGGAGGGAGAAGGCTGTGGAGGTGGAGGGAGAAGGCTGTGGAGGTGGAGGGAGCAACACCCATGACTTAAACGTTGGCCCAACATCAATGACTTAAGTGTTGGCCCAACATCAATGACTCAAGCGCTGACCTAATATTAATATGCTTGACCCTTGACACAAGGAATAGACCGAATGATTACAAACGTTACCCATTCGAGCTATTCTTCATACCATACATATGCCCCCAAGTCCGAGTTAATCATTCGACCTAAGTTAATGTTAACTATAGGGCTTATAACAGAAACAAGTATTAAGGCTCGGTACTGTAACCGCACCTGTATTAAAATGAAAATTTTGCGTCGTTGGATTAAAAACTTTATCCATTAAATGGTTATTTTGGTTTCCCGCTCATGTGGTAGTTGTAGCGTCTTGCGAGCCTTAGATTAAATTTCATCCTACGGCTCTTATTAGTTTTGATTATCTCATATAAATATGTGCAACCCACTACGTTGTTCCACTTTTCAAAGTTTTCTCCATAAAGCACCCAGTTTGCAGAAATTTTAGATAACCATGACTTCCATTGTAAACTTTCCTTCATCTACTGAATCTTTGGGAGAAGAGGGGTGAGGCAACGTCAACGACATATCAACCTCTACACCATTAGGGTCGTCAGCCTCTACCAACCAACCAAGCTCTACAAAAAAAACAAAAGAAACCTTGTTAAGCGGCGAAGTAGCTTTCATTTATGGGAATGTCCTTGTTGAGGGTCACGAAGAGGATGGAGATCCAACTCAAACCCTTCCTAGCATTAGTGGATATGAATGGGTTTTCGCGACATGAATGAGTTCAGTACTTTGTTTACCAATAAAACATCATTAAGGGATTAGGTAGAAAATAACTATATAGTTAAAACCCTAGAATGTAATCCCCTGATTAAATTATCTGACTGTAAAGAGAACGAGAGAGTCTTTCATGGGAAGGGCAACTATCCCAAAAATTTATTTTTTGCATATACCTATATGTTTCACGAGATGTTTGTAAGAGTACCGTTCAGTTCCTTTCAAATGGGAATACTGAAGGCATTGAACACAGCGCCCTCCCAAATGCATCCCAATAGTTGAGGCTACATACAGGCTTTTGTTATAATATCTAAACCAGGGAATGCTCTTGTTCGCGCTTTTTTCCCTATCGTTTAATGGGTTTAAAGACAAGTTTTAAAAGTAGAAATAACCGACTTAGGCCGACCACACTTCTTCACTGAGGATGATAAACCTGAATTCCCCCTTTATTGGACCCAAAATCCAATTAGATTAACCTCCTAGCCTCAAACTAACATGACACCCGAGGAACTCGAAACCTTGAATGTACTGGACAATTTGCCTTGCCAGCTCTCCTCCCACAAAATAATGAACTGCCTCGAATGGGGCGACCTCAGCTTTGAGGTCTTCGGTGTGCCACCTTCTGTTGATTAGTCCATTTTCTTTGTGATTATAATTAAGTTGAATTTGTTGTAATTTCTTAGGCATAATGGCAACAAAGAATCCAAAAAAGAACTGGTTTAAACTGGTGGCCAGTGAAGTTGGGCTAGGAGAATCATCCCAACACCCTCTGAGCACCTCAAGTGGTCAACCAATGTCAACCCTTTGCGCCTACACCTCTTCCTAATGCTGAAATAACTTTTGGTGAGACTGCAACTCCTTCTGGATCCGTTCGCCAGCCAACACCTAAACCAATCGCAGAGGTAATGCCTCTTAACACCACTATTATTTACGATCCCCCCAAGAAAAAGAAAAGTGGACGGCCTACTAAAAAGGGTAGCGCTAGTAAAAAAGGTAAAAAGACCGTTACCCCTTCTCGTTCGCTCCCTGGTGACCTTTGGAGCTCTGCCTTTTTCCTTGGCCACAAGATAGACTTTAATCTGGCCAAAGATGAAAAAGTTGTGGTGGAGCATATGTCTGACCAACAATTGATTGACTCGAGTCTTGAATTAACCTATCGAGCAACATTGGCTAATTGAAATCTGACATATACATCTGACAGAGGTAAGCTGAGAGCTTAGTTGGACGAGTCCCAGTGGAAATTGGAGGAAGAAATTGTTGCTCATGCACAATGCGAAGAGATGCAAGCAAGGTCTTCTCAATTATTGGCCGATGTCAAGCGCATAATGGGAGATGCGCAAAGAGCCAACCTTGAGCTTAAAGGTCAGAACAAGGAACTTGCAAAAACAAATGAAGACCTTAAGAAGCGAGACAAAGAACATACTACCACCATTGTGAATCTAAGAGACCAGCTGAAAGAGATGATGGCCTAGAGTCGAAACCTTAGCTCGACTTGTGGTAATATCCTACTTGAAAAGGATGCTCTGGGTGCAAAAATACAAGCCCAAGACCTACAAATTGCGGAGATGAAAAAGGCTATCTATGAAGAACATAGTCTAGGCTTTGAAAAGGTGTTGAGGCAAATCCCCCATCTTCTGAATGTGTCCATTGATGGGGCTGGGTTCGATGTTATGAAGGAAGGATATGTACCAAGGAGAATTGGTACCACTAAAGGACATCCTAGATGATGAATTTGAAGCAGAGATTTCGGCTGAAGAGGAAATAGTTGAGGAAGAAGCAACTAAAGAAGGTGTAAATGAAGAAACATTTACTACAGAAGGTGAAGGTAATTAAGACCCCGCCAATCCTCCTGGAGATGATACCACCACAGTAGTCAACATAGAAGATTAGCTAGTCATTTTCTTTAAGCTTACATAATGTATTCTTTAAACGTTTTGAGATGATCATCTGAATCTGTGGAACCATCATATTTATCTAATACAGGAGGAGGTTTCTCCGACATAGGAGCTTCCAAAATAGTTGTCGTGGATAGATGTAAGCCAGTTGACCGTACGGTTTGTAGAGGTATTAATGAAGGTATGACCTTACTGTTTGCTTCCCTTTCTTCTTGACTGTCCAGGTTGACAGGATTAAATCTCGGTTAATTACGACTTGCCCCATGACTGGCCACACTAGGGCGTTTTTCCCAATCAGGATCCCTCTAGGCCATTATATAATCATGATTTCAAAAACAATTCTCTTTTAAATATATTAAAGTTTTACGTGGATATCTACACTAAAACTAATCTTCTTATGTCAACGCTTAGACTCATAAAATCCTAAATTTTGTCAACAAACTAAGACTTTTGAGAATGATTTTGAACGTGGTGTATATTTGAAGCAGTAAAATATATATATTTGAAATTTTTTAATATTTCATTTTTCTTATCCAATAAAAATCATCCTTTGCATTTTTTTCTCTCTTATAGTTTTAGTAATAAATCATATTTTTTAATTAAACCATATTTAAAAAATATTTTTCCTTACTAACTAACTTAATTGATTTAGTTTTACT